TTGAACACTCATGTGCAAATATTGTTTCAGGTGGAAGTTGTGCGGGATGATAAGGCACAGTTCTCTGCTACGGCCGTAGTTACAGTTGCACACACAGAGTGATGTCCTTCCAGGAAAGCCCCCACTTACATATGGGTAACTTCCTCATGCGCTCTCATCCCTCGCAACTCCACCCCACTCTCGCGCACTAAGCCTCGACTCTCCACCCACACTTGAGGACAGAGGGAGGGGGTCTACATCAAAGAAGAGATGTCAGGAGATCAGGATTCTCAGGCACTGGTGTCTGAGTGTCCTGCTGGTTCAACTCCTGTTCGTAAAGAGGTTTCGTGGGAATTACAGTTCTCCCGACATGCAGTCATTAGTTTTACATGCACACTAAGAATATGTTAATGAGAGAAATTAGGTTAGAGGAGGAAATCGGTGCCTTTGCAACCACTGCAGTAATCAGATTTTTGTTTTTGAGGCAGTGCAGGCATAATTTAAACATATAATACTGTGGCCTGTAGAATTCTGTTCATTTTGAGTTGAAACAGTTAAACTGACTGACTAAGCAGCTCTTTTCCCCCCGCAAGAGCCTGAATTTGACATAAAATCTTTGTTAAACTGTGGAAATTGGTTTCAAGGATGCATCCAAGTTTTGGGTAATCAAGTAACTTAAGAGTCTGTAAACACAGAGAGAAAAAACTGTAGTTTTCCTCCTCGTCACCACAGGACAGGCTGCTAGAAATGCCGATGGTAAGACGAAGTATGCTGTGTTTTCTATGGGTGTTTTAATGATCTCCTCAGGATATGACTGAAGTTAATGAAGTCTTTTCCATGGGTGCTTACCTTTGACCCTGGTCTGAATGCCTCTCACTCCTGTCTGGTCCATTTTACTGTCCTACTCACTCTGGACGCCTTCTGGTTTGTTGACTTTTCTTTCCTCTCATTGTTTTCCCAGGAAGTGGTGAAAACTGCACTGTGTGTGTATGTGTGTTTCGAAAGCACTCTAGCATTGGTCTTTCTTCTGCAGTTGTTCTGCGGTATGTTACAAGATGGCAGAAGTCTCTCCAAACAAGAGGTTAAAATATTATCTACCACATTTCTAAAAACATGGCATACTAGCTTTTTTTATTGTTTGATTTGACCTGTCATAATATTGTTGTGCATTGTATTTCAAAACAATTAAGCAAGGCCATCTTCTTTTTAAGGAAGTACAAATGAAACCTTTTAAAGTCTCTGCTCTGCAGATTTGAGTATTGCACCACTGTGGGCCACAGTTGCCACAAAAAGGGGCCACTTATTCCCAGAGGAGGGACCAGCAAACTGTTTGTGAGAGAGAAACATGAATGTAAGCTTAGCACGAGAGAACCTGGGCAGAGGGCCAAGAGCAACTCTGCGCTGCGCAGGACGTTTCAACATTGGAGCAACAGCTGATGTCTCGGGCCGCGGCGTTGCACTGGTTCCCAACTCCATGTCCAGACATCCCTGTCAAGTTTGTCCTGGGAATTGGCAAGCTCAACTCACCAAGGGAAAGCAGTGAGAACAGTTGTACAGCTAGACAAGTGGCTAAGAGGGCTAAATCAGAGCCTCCAAAAACAAAGAGTCATGAAAGTGCAAAGAAAGATGCTTGCTTCCTGGTTCCTCATGGACTAAGAGCAGTCAGAGAAAACAAAACGGAGATACAGATCAGCATTCCACAGTGGGTGATAAATTATTTTCTCCTGTGCTATTTAGGGAAAAACACAATATTAGATTTTGTTCCTGATAAAGAAATTCTGCTGTTAAATACAGACATGCTCAACATACCCAATCTGTGTGTTAATGCAATTTCCCATTGGGATTAATGGCAATCTATTTAAAGACTGTTGACTTATCCGTTATTATTACATGCCTTATGTGCACCAGACTCTAAAGGAACAGTCTTATAAGGCTGGAAACTTTAAAGACAATTTAGTGAGAGTACTATCAATACCATATGTACTCCTACATTAAAGCTAACACCAGCACGGAGGTGCTCCTTCAAAGAGATGTGCACCAAGTATAGTGTAGTCAGTAGGAAGGACAGTGACATTTTTCTCTGTACTCATGCGCATTGTATCTAAACCAAAAAGACGTCTGGAGCTTAAAGTACAGCGAGCCACGTTAAAGGAATAGTAAATAATTTTCTTAGGTTATTTGATAGGAAAAAAAGACTTCTTTCAAACTATATATGCCCATTTAACATTTATACATGCATATTTTCATCATCTCTTTCTCATTATGTCTCCTCACCTCAAGCCTCATCTCCTGAAGTCAGGGCTCCAACACGCAAAAAAGTGTGTTAGCATGATAACAGTACCATGCTAATTTGTGTGGCTAATACATTTTAGGCATCATAACTGTAAAGGCTTTGCTACCAAATTATCAGGCTTTTGACTTTATGTTATTATCTGCTTTTCATTATGGATAAGTGGATGTAATCCCGTATAGCTCGATGTTGGCAATTGAACATTATAATCACTGTTTTCTTGCAGACCTACTGTGATGGGGGCACATAGCCAGTAAAACAAATCATTATCATACATGCTGAGTGTGCCGCATTTCCAGAACTGCAAGCTCTCGGCTGATAAAACAATTTGCACAATTCTTTTTTTATTAATAAGTCTTATGGGTCTTTTTGGAAGGAGCTTTTTGCTGCAAAGAAGCAGAGTTTAATGCCAGCCTGCGCAACCTAGATAGAGCTGTAGAGATTCTATTCACTGACGAAAAGACAACTGGGTTGGTCCCAAGACATTAGTCATCCACTGATGGCTTGTGTAAAAAATCATTTGGCCTGAGGAGCAAGAGTTTGTACAGAAATAAAGGATATGGTAAGCTGAGCTTCTTTCATCACCCCAAAGAAACATTTTAGTTTCACACAATTAATATTATGTAACTTTTGAAAACAAATAATGGGATGTAATGTGTAAGAAAATATTTAACCAATATGCAGTTTGAGTGAAGAAATGGCTCTTTACAGATCTCACAAATGTCACTACTAAAAGTCACTTTGTAGTTGTGCATGTTAGATATTTGGGTTTTGTTCTCTTGCAGAGAGATTCTGTTGAATGTTCACAAATCATAGTTACGATGCTAAACATTTTCCAAAACAAATTTTGGTAAGGCTCAATTTATACTAATACATTTGATGGTAAAAAGCATTCCTGAAGGTGTGATATTGAAAAGATTGTAGCCTCTGGGTAACAATTTCCCCTGATTGTCATTAAAATACTGATTGTAATTGCTTAGTATCATAGTAACTCATAGTAACACACATCTAGTTTCAAAGGCTCTGTGATGAAGTTCACGATTGATGGATTTCAGTCTATATTTATAATGTCAGACTGATTTGATTTGTGTGTTTCATAATCTATGTTGGTAATGTCTTTTCTAATGATGAATATTATTCATGATGTGCTGACTCTAGTTGCTAATTATACCGCGGGCACCAACAGAAAGAAACCAGACATGATGCTATCAATCACTGGGTAGTAAACTTAAGAATATACAATAATGTCTTGAAGTGTTGACACTGTTTTTGTAGTTTTGCCTCTGTACACCACCAAATTGGATTATAATTTAAACAATTAAGATGTGATTGAAGTGGAGACTTTCAGATTTAATTCAGGGGATTTAACAAAGGTATTGCATTAACTGTCTTTTAGTCTGGACCTGTTGTTCTTGAGTGTAATGGGTGGTTTGCACCTTGTTGTAAATGCTCTGTAGTTTCACTCATAAAGCCATTTCTTGATCGTGGACTTTAACAGTGATACACCTACTTTCTTAAATTTTGTAAAGGGTTTGTCATGAAATAATGCAGCAACAGGCTTCACGGACATGGGCATGAAACTAGTTGTAGTTTATTATTTGAAGTAGACTTGTCCAAGTTGTTCCAAGTTTTCTTGATGGGTGACCGTTAGTGTCATTACTGGCAGATTTAAAAAGACTTCCAAAACAGCAGCTTTTCAGAAATACAGACAGCCTCATTTTTAGCCTGATGACAGTGCACATTTGAGATTATCCAGGGACTTCTGAAAGAGCCTTAAGTGCAAGAGGTCATGATTTTCTCAAACTTGGGAAGACATGTAATCCTTTAATTGAAGCAAAAAAAAAAAAACCAAACCCAGACAGTTTGCAGAAAATGGGTTTTTTATATGTCCACACATGGGAGAGAATGTCAAATAAGAAATAATAGGAAGGTGGTGTTAAAGTTTCACATTCACTTTCTTATGAGGACAAAAAGGGTACGAAGAAGATATCAAAGGATGAACTGGCTTGGTCAGCTTCCCAGCACTGCGTGTCTGTTTGCAAAGAACAACTGCATAGCGTGTTAGCCAGGCCCTTGCTTTTAGTCAACAAATTCCTGCCAGATTAGGCAACAAGCTGCTGTTTCTGCACAGCACATCTTACATACCATGAAATCATTCCATGACAAATAGAGCAGAGACCCCAGAAAGGGTTTCTGTGCTTGTGCCAAACTGGAAGGTCTTTTAAATTAAAGGAGAATGAATTGTTTCACACTCGATAAATAATTTGGCTTGTTTTAGCGTGCTGTGCCTTAGACCAAGCATAAACTTAAAGTTAGTAGAAAATTGATGGGTATGTGTCCAAGCATATGGAGCCATGTGCAGCACTGTTATCTGCATTAATGGAGTGTGCTCTATTGCTGCAAAATACCCTAATCCTGTGTTTTTTTTGTGTTTTTTTTGTGTTTTTTTTTTTTTTTTAAAGCTTTACTGTGATTCTTTTACTGCATGTGACAGCAGTAAGGCCAGTTGTGGAACTCATCATATGAGGGGCTTTATACTCACGTAGTGTGTCCATTATTTAACCACTTTGTCTCACTATAACATTTGCAGCTGTTTCGTGTAATGATGGGAAATTGAATTTAGTTTGTAATTGGTGTATCAAAGCATGCACCGTCTCACCAAAATGTGCCCACTGTTAGATAGGTAATAGAACCTTTTATGTTAACTGTCTCTCTGTTTTGGTTTATACAGGTGAAAAATTCAACCTGGTGGGCAATTTTCTGAAGCGACACTCCAGTCTCAGATGTATTGTCAAGCAGGGTAAGTGACCTACATGTTTTCAATAAATCCATCCCCAGTTAAAACTCAGAAATAGACCTCTCAAGGGTTTATACTCAGCCAAATTTCCCACAGAATGAGTGAGGCATCTGTGGTCTGGATGTTGATGTTTCTCCCCCTCACTTGTTTTTATGTCCTGTCCCTACCTGATCGGGGTGTTGTTGAGAACAAGCGGCCATTAAGTGGTTCCCTTGAGAGGCTACTGAGAGAGGCAGAGAGAGAAGGATTCCTTAGCTGTATGTGGAGGGCAGTGAGAATCTATCTCCATGGCTCATCTAATGCCTGTGACCCTTGGCCACCTTTTCATGGGACCAACATGGTTCTCTTCCTGTCAGTAAAGTTAATATCTGCTCCTTGGGGGAGGACCAGGCCTTGGCTGTTGAGGCAACGGTGACCTGTTGCTGGCTGAGATGACGGCTTCTCTCAGCAGGTCCATTACACATCAAATTAGACTCGGTCTCCTGAGGTCAAAGGTTGTGTAATTTGGTCCACTGAGTTGGCAGTACATATGTGGTTAGATCATTAAAAAAAATCAATTAGCTATAAAATGGATGGTGAAAAGTTTTTATCGTGGTTGACGAGACGGCTACAAAAAACGTTCTTAAAAGGAGTTCAAGGCTGAACCACAATAGGTCTTCTTAAAGCTATGTTACGGTAATTAGTTGTTCAGAATGCAGTGAAATATTCTGATTTAGCTGACTTAAATTTCACTCCACAATGCCAACATTTTAAAGAATAAAGAAGAAAAAGCTGACATTTGGTGGAGCAAAGACTGTAAAGTTTGTCCACGGGTTGGCATTAAAGGAATAGTTACGAGGTCATTGAGACTAAATGTTTTATTCCTCTTATTTAATATGATTTGCAAATTCCATGTCAATCTACTTGTTAGATTTCAAGAAGGCTTTTGGGTTTGCTTTAAATTTTAACTGGGATCGGGGTAATTCGAAGAAAAGCTAGATTTCCAAACTCCAAGAAGTGCTCTGTCTAAAAGTGTCCTGAGAAATTTTCATTGAAGGTTCCAATTTCGCTTGAAACATTTCACGAGCTCTGAACTTTTTGTCGAGCAATCAAGCAGAACCCAAACCCAACTGAAAACAGCAGACATTATAAATTTAATTATTATTAGTGTCACATGTCATCCGGGCAGAGACTTTTGGAATATAGCTGGACCTGAGTTTCTTGACATTGTTTGGAAAAGCGGCTTAAATGATCTTTCCTTCTGAAGTCAGTGAGACAGTATTATTACTCCCAAGAGTCATTGTTAATGTAAAATTTCCTAATATTTCATGCTGTTTATGCAGCTCATAAAATTCAGCAATTATATATAAACTGCTATTTTCTCCCCGGTCTGAGGGATAGTAAATACTTGGTACTGGTAGATGTAAAAATTAAACATTGACCACAATTCCCTCTGTCTGAGTTTGACTGATAATTAGAGGTGAGCCCACGTTATTAACCAGCAGGGTCTGTGTTGTTTCTCTGCCTGCTCTCAGATTTGCGTGTGTTTCCCGAACGATATGTTGTGTGTGTGAGCCGTCCAGAAGATGCCTCAGCGCACCATAGAAACCCGAGCCTGCCCGCGGTGAGTGCTGTTTATACTCCTCTATTTCCTCTTCCAGTCGCCTGGCAAAAAGTCGTCCATGTGTCTGTGTGTTATTATAGGGATGTGCTGCCAAATTGCACTCTCGATTATATATGCTTATCCTCTTTATAAGGGGTGGACTCTGAACCTCCATGGGCTTTAAGGAGACCTAGTGAGAGGAAAACCAATGATCGTGGGAGGCTGGGTGAAGCGGTGCCAAGTCACGCTTTTTTGAAAAGCTCCTGCTCCCACATTTTTAATTACTTACCTGCAGAACTTTAGTTCTCTCTGTCAGTTTCAAGCATGAGGTTTTGGGGTTTGCATGCTCAAGAGAACCACAACAAATCCCTCTGTCCTGCGGTTGCATGTGCATTGTTTGGGTCTTTAAGAGAGAATTCGGTTAACTTTACTGTCTGCAGTTGAATGCCACGTGCCTTGATTAATTGGACTCAAATAAAGTTGGGTTCAGTGAATATTTCCCTGTAGTCTGTGCTGTGTAGACCAAGTTGAACTCTTGTCAGTGCCATAAGACCTACTGCTGTAGTTCTTTTTTTGTCCGCCTGTATTATAATCAGTTGTCCTTTGGTCAGTGTTCATTTGATCTCAAACTCCCCAGAGTATTCTGGGAAAAGCCTGTGGAGCCTCTCACCTTGGCACTCACATCAAGGACAGACATCTCTCCCATCACATCCCATGATCAGTGGCCTGATGTTTTTCTACAGGGTTTTTGCTATTGTTTCCCTTTGAAATGTCTCTGCACTCTCCACAGTTTGGCTTCCAATGAAAGCAGCGATTGTAATATTTTTAGTGGAGCAACATAGTCGTCAGTGAAAAGTTCAGATTGTGTAACCAATTTTCCAGTTCAAGGAGGCACTGTTGTCGATTGCGTTCCTCTCCTCAGGATGTGGTTCTCTGGGCTCATACAGTACAAGCTGAGGGAATTGGAGGGTGGGAGTCTTGTGGTGAAGCTCTCACTAGCTCAACCTCGAGCCCGCATTGTAAGGGAAAGATACCAGACAGAGAGGCTGAAGTTTTTCACATGACAAAAACAATAATTTGTTTATATCCCTCACTCTGTTCTTATTTGTCAGAAAGGGAGTTTTTGCAGTTTTAATGCTGCCAAGGAAGTCAGAAATCGGAAAGGGAAAAAAAAGGTTTAGACTGTGAGTCACAACTGATGTAAGGTATAATGTTGCTGTCTATAAATAATGGGGTGTTTGGAGTTCTGTGTCAGAGTTGATATCATGTTTAAAAAAGGGTCTTTTATCCCCCAATTCTTGACAGCACAAGAAAGGCAGTCTCAAAAAAATGCCACATTTGTCCGTGTTTAGGGAGGTTTCAGGTTTGTTGTTAGGATTCAGTTTGTGTGACTAGTTGTGCAAAAATCTTCAGCCGCAGTGGAAATGTAGACTCATCAATGAGCAGTTTTCACAAGTTTAGGGGGTTATGTTATGAGGGAGCTAAGGTGACATCACTGAAAGGCAGCTTCTCACTCCCGCATTTGAGTGTACTCTATTTTAATTTTATACAGTTTGTTCACTCTATATTAGTCATATTTTCAACTGACATTTAGTCAGGAAGCAGAAGCATTTTCCTTCCAAACAGCCACACACGATGAGAGAAAAGGTGTGCTATATAAAAAGGTGAGATTCTATTTCTATCAAACAGCCTTCCCAGGAAGGGATTAGCAGTGTAATACGCAAACTATGGGAAAGAGCAAACTTAAGGGGGGAAAAAAAGGCCAACTCCAGCTGTTTTGGTTTCAGATGGTCATTTGCTGCAGAAACAACCATGATTGTCCAGTTTGAAATGCTTGATTTAAATGTTACTGGGGCAGAGAGTGTTCAAGCATCCGGCAAATGTTTTGGTTCAGACATACTGAGTGCCATGTCTGGGATAAATGCTGAAATCCTATCAGCCTAATTGACTCTGTTTGTTAGGCACCTAGAATCCACTGTTGCTATGCAGACGTTGGGCAATTGATGCTGCTTTGTTTTCATGTGATAATGGAAAAAAAGGCATACGCAGAGGATTTGAAGATTTACGTCCCTTCCCTTCATAAAAGCTTGCTCCTATTGTGAGTCAGCACCAACACCGAAGAGGGCAGCATGGGAAGGAAGATCTAGTGTTTATAATTACGGCCGTTGTTTTTTAGTCAGGCACAGAGTGGGCAGCTGAGGTGAGTGGCGTGCTGGGCTGCAGAAGTTTGGATCAAAGGCAGAACAGATGTGTTTCCAGTCTCCCCCCCTCCCCTCCTCTTTTGAGCTCTGGACGAGCTTGTGTGTTTACTCATGACCTCAGCACGCCTCTGTTCTTCAGAGCTCACAACAGCTAACAGCAGTCCGTTCCCAAGCGTCCAGTGTCTACTGACCTCCTCTACACCTAGGCCGAATGCACGACTATGATCTCTTACAGGTCCTCATTCCAGCCCATCTTAAACTGCTTTCAATGATTTACATGAAGTGTGTTCAGTTAACCACTTGTCTCAGTCCTTTGATATGGGTGGATCCAGAAACTCTTGTTTGGGGATAAGAACTGTCCCCTATTTTAGACAAGTATGTGCCCATGAATGTTTGTTGACTTTGTTGCAGAGAAGATGTGGTGAGCCTACACAAACAGGGCATGCTTGCCCTGTGGGAGCAGGGTGGGTGCATGATGAGGGGTGGAATTTGTGGACTCCATTCACGAACATCTCTGCAGGAGGTTTTTCATTCCCTGACAGTTAAATACTCTTGTTGTTTCTTGGTGCCAGTTTGAGGACTTTGTATACTTAGATGTGTCATCAAAAAAAGCTGCTCAAAAGAAGTTCCAGTGGAAAGAATAATTCATTTTTTATAATATGAGTGCTGTGAGGGATTCAAGCATTTCAAGCTACCACAGATTTCAAGTTGAGACACTATTATTTTGTGACAGATGAGTGGAAAATTGCTTTATGGGAATGCATCTCACTGGCTTTGTATATGTTAGGTGAGGTACAAAGATATTAAAGTAATCCCAGAACAAACAATCTGACTTCCACTGTGGCACATGAAAGTTGATGGTTCATCGGAGCCTCCCATGCTGACTTGTTAGATTTTTTTATTTGAAGTTTTTATGTTTTAACTTCCATGCTTAAAAGCTTTTGGAAAAAGATTAACTGAAAAATGCTCTTTTTCTACAAAGCAAAATTGTTAAAGTAGTATTTAGATGAATGTGTATTTGTGCAGACTATATACAAAAAAGCTGTAGTGTGTATAAATATGGCATTGTATATCAATAAGCATTGTCTTTAAACACCAAGAGAAGGTTTGTCATCCTTTGCAGCAACATTTTAAACAGCTCAGAGACCTTTTGGCCATATCGCTGCATTACTTTTGAGTGCAGCTGCATTAAAAGATAACCAACATAATCGTCCTATCTGTGTTCTACCTTATCTTGGACGGCTTAGAGGCTGTTGCCTGTATTTTATGGAGGCTGTTGCTGGTTATCCTTTTGAAGTTTTTTTCCAGGAGTCATTCAGAGTTGGGGCAAGTGCTGAGAATCTGTCCTGGTAGCCTTTTAAACCAAATGAATCATTCTCTCTGCTATCCTTGCCCTTTTGCCAGGCTTATCGCTGTAATCTGACATCCAGATGTGCTGTTTTGTTGCAGCTCCTGTGGCGAGGCTGTGTTGTTTTGGAGGCTCTGGGGCCAGGGAGGGCACTGTTGGTCTGCTCTACATGTTGTATCACGAGGAGCATTTTTCAGCTTTGTGTGGGGGCGAGCAGACTGGCGGTGGGGGGGTTAAATCCTTTTTTTTTTCTCTCAGAGAGAGGTGGTAGCAACGGCGGGTAGACGTTCTTATTTACCACCATCCCTCCCTCCTTTTTCATGGGACTCTCTCCAGCTATTTAGAGTTTGCATCATTCCTTACAAGATTAGGCCACCTCAGTTCCCACACAATTCTTACCGTTTCATCCACATAGCTTGTGATAATTATAAGGTTATTTAATCCGTCTGATTTCTTCTGTAGTTGCTATATACAGAATCTCCAACCTCTAGACCCCTGCTGAAAATAATTTATGCACAATCTCTCTCGCTCTTTCTGTTTATCTATCTTTTCTCTACTTGCTATCTATATCCAGCCTCTTCCTCTCTTCATGCTTCTTCCTTTCTCTGACTCTCCTCTTTCACTCTCTTGCTCTTTTGAAGTCGTGCCGACAGGAACAGAAAGGCACTAAACTTTCCCAGAGAGCCTCCCTTTAGCTCCTTGTTGATTTTTCTTTCAAGTTCATTTTCAAACAGCATTTATTCATATTAAACAGGCTAGAATACATATCAAGGCATTACAATGCAAACGATAGCACCCACATTTTTCTCAGAATTGTTGTTGTTGGGGTGTGTGTGTGAGTGTGGAGGCGAAATGAGAGTTTGTATGTGTGTCACTGTCCCAAATCCATGTTGAAGGTTAGCTGTAGCTCTGGGTATGAGAGAAAAAGTCTAAAGACCAGACCAGAGCTCTGCCCACACTGTAGCATGACTCCATCTCAACACAAAGAGGAGCCTGTGTGGAACTTCCTGTGTGAGGATTCTTGCGTTTGTGGGCATGCTGGAGAGACTGTTGAGGTCAGGCAGTGTGACTCTGAGGGGGTGCCTTTGCTTTTGTTGTGCTCCACTCTCTTTTTTTCTCTTATACACTCTGTAGTATCTTGTCTCTTGTATTTCGCCAGCTCCGCCTCCTTCCCTGCTGCCCGGCCTCCCCTCCCTCTGTCTGGCCTCTTTATTCCGTCAACCACACCACAGACCAGAGTTGCTAGGTCTCAACACCCAGCGCAAAGCCACAATGCCCCAGCTTGCCCTCGCAGCTCGGGTCGATCACTCCATTTCCCCCTTGCGTGTCGGGTCACATGTTGTCACTAGTATCGTGACGTGCGGGGGAGGACATTTATGATATTTCTCTCAGTTTTCACAACATCTGCAGGATGCCAGAGCTTACCGCACTGGCTTTCCCCATCTTAGAGTGCACATTGATCATTTTACCAACCAGTTTATATAATAGTAATGATCTGAAAAATGGCTGATGTTGAATAAACATAGCGGCCACGACCTTGAATTTTCCCAGATTTAATTTCTGTCCAGTTGTTGTTCCCCCTTTGCAAAAACCAATAAAGTTTAGCGGCGTGAAGCTGTGGATAGCGGTCTCAGCCACGTTGATCCAAAGAGCGATAGCTTCAACAGTATTGGATGGTTTGCTATGAGCTTGGGCATAGCATAGCGCAGTGGCCAGAGAATAGATCCTGATTATTAATAAATCCTATTTTTGGTAATCCCTTAAATCTTGTGCCGCCACTAGATCAATTTTTTCACTTGTCAGTGAAATAGCTCAACTTTTATTACACAGAAATACACTAGAGGATAAAGCTTAACCACTGTGGCGATCCCCTAACTTTTTGCTGTCAGGTTGATATGAATGTTTTTGAGTGAAATATCTCAACAGATAATTTAGCAGGCATGAAACTTGTCCCATCTTCTCCTTTAAACTATAAACTCGCTACCAGTACCCAGGAAAGTACTACTCAATACCATGGGGTTAAAAAAAAAAAAACAAAAAAAACAAGATCACGTTCTTTTCCTGTCAAATTTACACCGTCCATTAACATTACAGACAGGCAGAACTTATAATGTTTGCTGCCTAGCTCCAACATTAACATCATCATTTTATTATTAGCCATAACCTCTACCTTACAGAAATGGCTATTGCTAATTGTTAAAAAGCTAATGTTAGCATGTGTGCCAGCCAGGTTAATATTTATTACTGTTTTTTTTAAATAAATAAATAAATGAAACAAAAATAATAATAACAAATAAACAAATCTTGTTGGAACTGTCTTACATTTCCTTTGCCAGGGTTGTGGTTCTGCTGTTTACATCTTCAGCTTCTAGTGAGGGGAGGGCCTTTCTGCCCACCTATCTGCAGCCATCCTGTGCAAAGCTATCTGCCAACTGTAGGAGGTGAAGACGGCACTGCTGGTGTCAATAGTGAAATATTTAGTGATCTGTCAAGAGACCTAAAAACAAAACAGTCAAAGAAACATAGGTTAAAATGACAAGCTTTATTTCATGACTTTTGAACTTTAAAATTGGGTCATCAGATGGATTCCTATTTAATTCTGTAGCCTAAAAATGCACACGCCAACCTTAAAAGGATTGCAAATACATCAAATGTGCATATCACTGCAAAACCTACAATGTATGCAAACACATAATAAAATCATTCTTACAAACCCACAAGGTAAAATTGAGGCCCATTATAAATTTCCCGACAGAGACCTCACCCAACCACATATGCATTAGGATTTAATTCGGTTCAACTGAATTTTATTTATATACCATCAAATCACAACAGCAGTTACTTCAAGTCACTTGTAAGGTAAAGGCCCTACAGTAATAGAGAGAAAACCCTAGAAAAGATCGAACAACTCACCCCATCTCTCTTTGCCTTCATTGGCAGCAGCCCTAAACAGCTGCAAACAACCTCGTTCACCTTGAGGTAAGTGCAGATACACCATATAATGTTCTGTGCCTTGCTTACACACACGTCAAATGCCCATTGTTTGCTTCTGTCAAGTTCCACAGTCTGACCGCCTGTGATATCAGTCATTCCTGTTGGACAAGTGACAATGAGTTCAGAGTTCATTCCAGTCACATATAATGCAGTTGCAAATGGACGTCTAATCCAAAAGTAATTTTTAGTATCAGTTAGTATCTAAGTATCAATTTCGTTGACAAACGAACTTGGTTGGTATGCCGCTTAGGTAAGTACTGTACTGAAAAACAAAAAAGTACTGTAGCTTTTTCAGTTTTATATAAAGATTACTTGTAAGTATCAGTTCTGGCAACATCCCCATTCTAGACCATGAGCTGATATAAATGCCTTTGTACAGCTTCAGACCCTTAGAAGTTCTAGTATACAAAATATAATATAATATACTGCTTCTCCAGATAAGAACTAGCAGACGTGCTCATTTTCTAAACCATTGCTAGTCTACAATTCCACCAACTTTTTTTGATTTGATTACTTTATGATGAATTGACAGTGCTTCAGCCTTTGAAGTTCTGCTCAATTTGCCACCAGCGTCTCTTGTTCTCATAAATCCAGAGTCTGTTCTGGGGCAGCCAAGGAAAAGACCCCATGATTAACCGTCATTAGTGGCCTGTTGAGGGCACACGTTGGTGAGATCCAATTTTCAGCTTGTTCCTCGTTCTGCCTCAGAGGTTTCCCTTAGTATGTGGATATTTTGAACTTTCACCCCAGAGTTTAAGCAAATAAGACTTGCTTTTCAGAGACACTTAGGGGTGTAGCAGAATTACAGATGCAAGTTTTAGACACATAAGGACATAGAAGAAGCGCTCGGCACTCATCCTGCTTTGTTCAGTTACAGTTTCAAAAATCATTGCTAAAAGTAAAGAAGGTTTTTTCCCCCCTTCAGTCTGTTTACATTTGCAGCTGTCCCATAACATGCTTTTTACACCTTTTTTAAAAAAAATATTTTTCTTTCCCACGCAATGCTGCCCTTGCGTCACATTTTTTCTCTGTTACTGAATCTTCATTATTCGCTGTTTTAACTTGTCAATATGGTCACCGTTTCGTAACTCTGCCTAAGGCTGAGAGCATTATTTTAAACCTCAGGTAGTGTAGGCTGAACAATTGTCACGCCATAATGAGCCAGTGATTAATTTCAAACTTTGAGGTGGAGGATTTGGGGAGTTTACGGTGGGTGTGGGGGGGGCAGCTGCTACTCTCTCTGAAGGCCCTTTCATCTTTCATGTTGGGCAGCATCATAGTTTAAATAATAAGGTGACTGCATTGATTGAACTTCAGACAATCTGACATGAACTCTTTTAGTTTTTGGTCTAATGGATTTAATGAAGGTGTTCAATGAAGGATGATGACAGCACTGTGAGACGAAATGTTTCCAGGGTATGCCAGTAATAATATTTGTGTTTACACTGATTCTGTTTGTCCTCTTTAGACTGAGCTGTGCGAACAAAGCAGATCTGAATATTTTTCCAGTGTGGGAGAAACCCAAGAGCCTTTAAACAGCCCCACGAAAACAAAGAAGACTGTGCTTCAAAAGATGTAAGTATGATCTAATGCAGAACTTTCCCACCCCACCAGTCAGAGAGGACACTCAAGTATCTGTTTATATCCTTTATACCCATTTTTTTTCTTTCTCAGAGCCAAACAAGCCAGTGTCCAGCGAGACCTTTGTGGTTCCACTATGGCAGAGCAGCAGATTGACCGGAGAGTCTGTGCTGAAAACCAGAAACCGGAACTTCAAGTTGTCAAGTCAGAATCGGGCTTAGTGAGTCTGTCCAGATCTGAACAGAAGGTCCTGTCAGAGGCAAACCACAAGGTGCCCTGCTCCAGTGCATTAACTGTAGCAGGAGCTCTAATTCGGACTACTCAAAAGCAGGAGCAGCATGCTGAGAACAATCTTCCAGACTGTATCAACCTAAATGGGACCTCAGCAGGTTTCTGCCAAAATGAAATCAGTCAGGAGACCAGCACGAGCAAGAGGTGCAAGCTGAGTGATGCTGGGGAAGACCCTCACCCACACGGGGCCAAGAGGATGTGCCTTGGAAGACCTCCAGCCCTAATGCAAACTTACTCTGCACAAACATCCAAGCACGACCTCCTTCCTCTGCCACCCCTTCCTCCACTTGAAGCCAAGGCAGAGTCCCATGCTTCCCCTGTCTCAGAGTGCAAGAAAACCACACTGGAAGTAGAGCTGCTTACTCCAGGGAAACGAGCCCAAAGGCTCTCCCTCACAAGCAATAACACGGCACAGACAAACCAAAACAGGCTGGCCGCAAGTCTGAGGAGCCTATCTGTCAAGCCTGCATCCTCAGGCTCCTCTATTGGTTCCAGATCCACACTCGGAGAGGAGTGGAGTGAAAATGTGCCCAGAACCTCTAGATTACGACGACTGAAGAGGTCCTGAGGGGGAGAGAGAGACAGGCTACAGTAAAGATGCCTGACGCCACAGAAATAGAGATGAGACTCTGTCAGACTACATGCTTCCCCCACACTGTCCATGTGGTCTGCTCAGATGACTTGCATTTGTGCTTGTGTCACTTTTTACTGCGATATCTGTTCTTTTCACATATGCTGCACACGCACAGATCAAATGCTGAACACATTATGGCAACTGATACATGTGCATTTGAGTTATGCTTTGTCAAATACTTGAAACGGATCTCTGCCTCCACCCATAAGTAGTGGTGGTCAAGAGCGGCTCGCAAATGAAAGTCAAAAACCTTTAATTGGAGTTAAGATTTGGTTTTGTGTTAAAGATTGGGGATTTCAGACAGGCAGGAGCCATGCAGTACGTCATGGCTTTCAGACTCAAATACTGGCTCCTACGTGTCTCAAAACTGTCCAGTTTACCCGCCGAAGCTCGAGCATGATTGATTGCTGTTTCCAGGTTTATTTCATCACCCCATTCTCAAAAAAAGTGTTTTTGTAGCTAGATATTTTTCATATACCAGTTAGTTGCTAAGCACCTGAAAACAAATCTATAAGTGAAAACATACTGTGCTGCTTTTTTTTTTTTTTTAAACTTAACCTAAACCAAATATATACAGGAATGTGATCAGTTTTTAAAACAGAGGTTGAACAACAGCTGCTGTCACCAGCCCGCCGCTTGGTGTAGGTCCTTAAATCTGCCCACTGGCCCGAGCCCAGACGGAGAGCCTACTGTCAGCTCCGTTAACAACCCAGTATTTCTATTTCACAACAAAATGTTGACTGAAAATTTTACTCCTGTTTTATTTTACTGGAAAGACATTTCGATATAAATAAAGTTTTCCCTCAGTCAAAACAAAACAAAAAAAGCCCCATTTGAATCATTGTGTAAAATTCACTGAGAATTTCGGGAAAGCAGCCGGCACAGATCTCATTGCATTGTTTTCCTCTCACAGAGTCCAAACCAAATGCTGCTTGTGGCAGTTTGACAGTGGGGTCTGTCCAAAAAATGAAAAAATGTATTAGTGGTTACAACCCGAGTGTCACGACTAGGAGCCAGTTCAGCTATCAAATAGGACGAGTTTCACTAATCTGCCCTAAGGTTTTAGTCCCAACATGTTGAGGATCTTTCTCAAGGGATGTTGTAATCTCTCGTCTTTGTTTTAATTCTGGCAAGAAGAGTTTGCCCAAAAAAAAATAAAGAAAGAACATAATAAATCACTTTTACTCCACAGCTTAGGCTTCTCCAGCCCAACTTTTTTTAAAAAAAAGAAAAAGCTTGCTACAGTATCTTAACCAGACCATAAAGGGCTACAATATCTGAGCGTTATGAGTACTGCGTCTCCAGGACTCGACTAGGAAACCATTAGCTGTAGTTCCCACGCCACGAGAGATCTTTAATATGCTCCAACACGTTTGGCTCAATGCATCAGACTCGTCACTCTCTCTCCAGAACAGAGACAACTTTAATTCTCGTTTCATACAAAATATTTAATAAATATGACTTTCAAAAATATATTGCCAGATCAACACATAATTCTCAAGTTCATAACACAAAGTCAAAAAAAGAAAAGGGACAAAGTGTTGCCACGATCTCAAAGGGTTAACAAATGAGATAAAACATGTTTGTCTTTAAGAGCCTCAATTTTTAAAAAGAAACAAAATGTGCACAGAAACAAAGCGGACTCTTGCAGAGCAAGGCAGTGTATTTATCTGATACTACAGTGTTCCCATTGCTCCCCTACTGTTCAAGTACTCACAGTCTAGCTTATGATATTATGCTGACTAAAGCAGATGGGAATTCTGGCGTGTCATACTGATGTGACTTGCCTTGCAACTTGGTTGATTTCGACAGCCTTTGAAATACGTCTGGGTTAAACTGAAGCTGCTGAAGAATTTTTGTTCCCTTAAGTATTTATTCATTAGTGGCAAGCAATGTGTCTGCCACCATGTCCAACCCTTGCAGCAGCCGTTTTCTTTTGTTGTCCTAACCTCACTTGTCTACAATTAAGGTCCTGGCAACAAATAATGAAATGTCCAACGTGTGTATGGGAGGGAAACAAAAATGAAGTGTTTCTTTCAGGGCCAAAGCACCCATCTTTTGTCTTCTCTGAAATTTGGCTTTTATTGAATGCATTGGAAACAAAACAAAACAAAAAAAACCTTGAAAGAAATGGTAGGCTTCCACAGCTATCAAAACCTTCAAACTAAACTGGAACGTATAAATAAAAAGGAATGATATCTTAAGGCTCTTGATTATTAAGTTAATAAATCAAATATACACAATGATTAATAAAAAAAAAATGTACATATCTACACGTTCTAAATTGTCACATAAATTCTTCATATTGACAGCAACTGCTGACATCGAACCCCTTTCATCTCCCTCCCCACCCAACCCTAAAAATAAAAATAAATAATAAAGTTGATCTTTTTTTTTTTTTTGTCTCATTTGACAGTTGCTGAAGTCTAAAGCTGAAAAAGCACTTCCTCCAAATAGAACTAGAAAAAATTCAAACACATACTAAAAATAATTAGCTCTAGTGTTGAACACGTCGGGTAGTTTAAACTCATTGTACAACAATTACACCAGGAGCCCCTTAAATGTGTCCGCTAAAAAAACAAAAAGGAAACGGGGAAATGAAATGCATAGGAGGACACGTTTGCAACTAGTTCTACAGTGAAATGTATACCAGTGCTTTGTGTTTCCAGCCAACCAAAGCAACTGTCACTGCCAGTGTAAGCCAGCTTGTCAAAACTTAAATTAGCACGGGGAAATATCTGAAAATACTGAGGGGGAGGAGGGGGTCACAACTGACATGACTATTTACACATGCCAAAGCTCCCCCAGTTTCACCCACCACCTGGGTGTGAAGGCGTAAGGCTAGGTTGCACAGCAACACAGCTGTCTGCTATACAATGTAGTCCATCCTGTTTATGCTGTTTGCTGTCTCCAAGTCTCTATTGTCCTGTTTGTTAGTCCAATTAGCGTGCTTGGATGTTGAGTTGGGATTGGAGATGGTCGCCTTCTCGTCCCTCTCCACCAGTGTGTATGCTGGCTGTTTGGCAAAGCGGCCCTTCTGCAAGTGCCTCTCCTTGTCGTCCTCATCTCCCTCGGGATGATTTGTCCTTATTTTGGCAATGATGGAGTTCTTATTTTCATAGTCTTTAATGGCCACTGTGAGGCCCACGTGCTTCTCTATAGGGTTCTTGATCTGGTTAAGCTGCTCCCGGACGTTGTTGGTCGTGTTGTCCTCTGAGCTGGTCGCTGATGTCCCGTTGTGGTTGCTCTGTTTCCGCCGCCGGCGCATGCACCACAGCAAAATTGAGACCAGCACGAGGGCCCAGATGACAATGAAAATGGAGCTGAGAAGGGGCACTAGGTAATCTGGTAGAAGAAAACAATGACAAGTCAGAAAGAGACCACAAATAAAGAAGAATTGACTCAAACGGTGGATAGTAGGATTTCTGTATTAATGCATCAAGCTAGCTCAGTCATTAATGTGCTTTTGCCAGAACAACCTGACCTCCAAGCCTGGAGCTGAAGAGGAGGCTGCTTCTACTTGGCTGTGGCAGCAGTCTGCTGTCACCGTACTGATGAATGGTGAACACAAGTGGGAGTCTGACTAAAAGTCCAGCCAGTTGTACCGCGAGCCAATCTAAAGCCATGTAGCCAAGCAGCTCTGCTCTTTCCATTGAAGATCCTGGCTAGATTCTTTTTAAGCTCCATCACAACTGCCATGAGTCGTGTGGGAGGTTAAGGAATCAGTTTACATATACATGGAATGTTTTTTCTTTGGTGTGCAGCTATGTTGTCATTTTTAGGGCTTGGCTCTATCTCATGAGCTGATCTTTAGAGAGAAAAAAATTGAAAAAAATCCTCCCACCCATTTCAGCACATGCAGGTGTGTGCAAGTGTGGAAAACTTCATAATCAAACAAATAGTTTCAGTTCATACCAGTTTTGCTGGGGCTTGGCACACGCACTTCTGCGATGGCGGAGATGATCGTGTTGTTCCCGTTATGCTTGCTAACCAGGTCAATTATCCTTTCTGTGATCTTTTTAACGGGGCTCCCGTCCAAGCGGTGGTCGTCAGTCGACTAAAGGCAAAGAATAAAGCGAGGTGTGAAATTTAAGTGTTTAGTTGTTGTAAACTGAAGCCACAGAAACTCAACCCTACGTCCATAACACATCCTACCGCAGCTGCAAGAACTCTACAATGCAGGTTATAAATCAAAAGCATTTTTTGTGTGTGCTTTAATGGAAGCAGCCAAACATGGCAGAGTGAGTAGAAGGAAGTACTCACGATGCAGACGTGGATCTCGTTGCTGGCTGAGAATGAGGGGTCACAGGTTATGGACACAGAATGCTCCAAGGAGAAATTCTTGACCACGTATAAGCTCCTCAGCTGCTTACATACTCCTTCCACAGTCAAGCCCTGGACCTGAAGGGAATGAAGCAAATGTTAACAAACACAGGAAAAAAAAGGGAGGAAAAAAAGGGCAATCAAGAAGAAGAAGAAAAAAAAAAAAAGAAGAGCCAAGGCTGCATTTTGGCAGCATGTTCCAACATCCTATCCACCTAATTTAGATTAAAGACCGCAAAGTCATATGCTTGTCACTATCTGCTGTCATGCTTGTTAGGCAACTGGCAAGTGATCATTCTATGTGGTGACAGAGTCGCCAGTGGTCCTGTTCAGCTCAAAATCCATATCATCCTGAAATTAATCTCCCCATGTGGTTGGTTTAAGATTGGGATTGGCAGAAGCTAAAAAGTCATGAATGCCTCAGTCTCAGGAACAAAACTTGTATGCAGACAAGGCTCCGAGAGAAATATTCCCCCCACTCCTTCATGGAGCACATTTAAATACATGGCTGAATTGTTAAGGAGTCTTTCTGCCCTGGAGGAATGGGTAATCTTTCACAGTTTGCTGCTCCCATTCATTTAAGACTGCTGGTGGAGGGGAGGGATGGAAAACGAGCCCAAAACCTGTTAAATTCAATCTCTTCCTCCCTGGTGCCTAGGTAACTCACTCGAGGCATGATCTCCTTGTTGAAGGTGAAGGTGATGTTGGCGCAGCTGTTGTCCTGGTAAGTGGAGCTGGGGTGGCATTTGGTGGGGGGCTGGGGAGGGTCGGAGTGCCAGCACTCTCCCAGATCAATGCAGGGCTTCACAAAGCAGTGGCCCTCCCTGAGGGGGATGCAGCTCTGGCCTGAAGGGCACTCGCCTCGGCCCTTGGCACCCAGTTTGCATGACATCGGGCCACACCACATCTGGAGAGGAAAAACACGGGAGCATTGATACATTTATATTACACTGAGTACACTATACAGTAGAAAACACTTTCAAACTGTCACTGCCGTATCCCCAGATACATCTGCATAACTGTGGAAGAGATTTGTATTTCATTTACTACTCGGGGTCTCCAGAGGATGAGTCACACTGTACGAATGTCTAAAAACAAAAAACTGGACCAGTGGTAACAGCTGTCCAAAGATTGATTTGTCTCCACTGCATGTCAGAGATTGTTATGTATCACAAACAAACAATACTGTGATGTCAGGCCAAGTTTTAAATGCATCTCCCAGATCTTTTTCAATCCTACGATGCATTTTCTTGCCGAGGTGAGCTCCACTAGTAAGCCGCCAATGTTCATCTAGCGGTTAGACAGCCATGATGATGACAGCACTACTGTCCAACTCACCCAATCGTCCCTTAGTGGGAACCGGTGTGTGTGTGTTCGTGTTCTAATCAACTAACTGCATCAAGAAATTGGCACTCCCGAGCCAACTCCACCCAGTGACACATAATGTCGTGGCCCTGCCTACACCTTCTCATAGAAAACAAAACACCAAACATCAACGCGATCCATTTTGTGCAGTTCTCCATTCGGAAGCATGACATAGACTTCACAGGTGTGCCGAGCATTCATAAATACTTTACCTTTGTGCACACAACTTTCCCATTGGAACAGTGGCAAGTGTTGCAGTCTTCATCCCATTTCACTCCATCAGGGGTGACGTGTCCATTAACGGAGCAAGGTTTTCTTGTAACTGTGTAAAAGCAGTCACATTGTTAGAAATATTTTCATTATTTTTTTCCCCTTCATTTTCATATTTGTTGGGGGTTGTTTTCCCCATCATATGGAGGCTGCTACCTTCTTGGCAGTGGGATCCAGTCCTGTCTGGTGGGCATAGGCAGCGATATCCATTGATCTCATCCACGCAG